TACTGTTTTTTTCTGTATTCTTTGATCAAACAAATGCAGACCCCAAACTTCTGAATAGCAATGTAGTTACATCAGCAAAAAAGAAACAGTCACGTCATCGGTGGAGAATGTTATTATTTTTAAATAATTTGCATTGATTAATCCTGCATAATAACACCAGGAACATTTATTAAGATGCTAATTATGGCTAATTCAGATTTTAAACAGTTCTTTTCTTCAGTATCTAAACATCTCAGCGTTTGCTGCTCACTTGTCTGTGTTGGCAGTTTTGCGGAACTCGCGGACGGTCATCGGCTTCTTCTGGATGTTGTACTGAGTGAAGAGACCTGATTGGCCAGTGACCACCTGTTGAATCGGTGCGGGAATCACCAGATCATCAATGTCATCATATGTGCGCCGGGGCTTCCAGTCCTTTGGTGGCACCACCTGACAAACAAGCACATCAGTCAGCAAACCTTCAATGATCATCCACAACACCCAAAAAACAGTCTCTCTCAGCATTTTGAGCTGAATGAAAATCTTGTACACTAACCTTAGCCATCCCGGCTCTGTGAGCCCCCTGCGACTCCATATACACAATGTATCTGTTGAAGTCTTTGAACTCCTCTCTTGTGGGATGAAAGGTCATGATCCTGGTGGCAGGACTCTGGGAGCTTTGAGAGACCGAGTCCGAAGCCATTCTGTCACTTGGACTGTAAGAGAAACAAGAAGATGGAGATTTCAGCAACAAACACATCAACAAAACTAAATACGCAACATACTCATGCTTTTTTGAAAAACAACCACACCACAGCAACACAAACCAACACCACCAATTACATTTTTATTGCAACAAGTGTCTTTACACCAGACTAATAAACTTCACATGCAAACCACCATCACTATAATAACTACCACTACTAGGCAAGACAATTTACTTCGAACACATTTTATACACATATATAATTGTGCTAATTTAAAGTGATTCAAAATATTTGCATAAGGAAAAGATAAAGCAATCTAGTTTAAATAATTTAAAAATAAATATTTAAGAACATAATAAAAAGCTCAGTTTCAAAAAAAGTATTTAATTAAACATAAATATAAACAACATAATTCATAAAATAATTATACATTTTTAATTATAAATATTTTAAAGATTATATTTAAAAAGAATTAGAAACGATAATAGGAGGACAGAAAAAGTATAAATATTAGGCCTACAACTTGTTGGAGCAACTAAATACAAACAATTCAGGGGAAAAAACTAGAGCACATTAATACTGATTTAAGTAGAAAACAACAGATTGAATTAACTTGTAACAGTTAACAACATGCTCATAGATTTTACTGACAGAAATAAACTTAATGAACTGTTTTAATAAAATCAACATTATACAGAGCTGCACTATTATATTCAAGCACACAGTATATAATAAAAACATTAAAACACTGTAGTTTAATATCTGTTATAATTATGAATGTTGAAGCGCCTGTAAACTCACACTAGCATGCTAGCTGACGTTAGCCTGACAAACACATCATATCGGATCATTCAACGTTAGAGTGTTTAATGAGAAAGCATCATATCTATGAATGTGTCATGATCTCATTATGAGGTTTTGCTCAGGACCACTGAAAGTTTTGACCCCGAAATCTCTCAAACTCACTGCAAAAACAACAACAACAACACACACACACACACACACACACACACACA